TATATGTAACAGCTGCCTATATTTCAAATGCTTAGTTTTGTCTTAAGGTAAAGGAAAAAGTTCCCCTCGCACATCCGTGCTAGTCGTTTCCAGCTCTAGAGGAAGCTGGTGCTCATCTGCGTTACAAAGCTGAAGAGCCAGCGTTGTCCGAAGGTGTCTCTGTGGTCATGTGGCCAGCATGACTAAACGCCTTCAAAGGTGCACGGCGGTCCCTATTTTTCTACTTGCATTTTTACATGCTTTTGATCTGCTAGGTTGGCAGAAGCTGGGACAAGTAACAGGAGCTCACTCTGTTATGCGGCGCTAGGGATTCGAACCGCCGAACTGCCGACTTTTCTGATCAACAAGCTCAGCGTCCTAGCCACTGAGCCTCCGCGTCCCTAACTAAGTTTTGTCTTAGTATCTGATAATTCTGGTTTTGTCTGAGTACTTGTGAACCAGATCCTTGTTCTTCAACCCGCTAAGCCCAATCATGGTTTTTGGTTTAGTAGGCATGAACCAAATCCTCGTTTCAAGTTGCAAGAGTCCTCTTCCGTGACTGGTTTAACTCGGGAAGGATCAGGGTAGAATTTGATCCTTTGTGCATATGTTTGCTAATTCTGCCCCTTCCTGACCTTACATGCAAAACAGCAGGTCTTACGGTAATTCCTGCTCAATTTGGCTGGTTTGGAGTGGGAGGAGGCTCATTTGATATGGTTGGTTAAATGATCCAGTTTTCTAGCGTGTACAGAGTTTGCATTATTTTAATCAGCGATGTAAAGGAAATGTATGACTTGCCATAAAAGAAATGGGGGGGAAAAGGAACATCGTCCTGCCACTTCAAATACACATGAACAGCTTAGCCAATCCTGCAAACTGTGCCAGGCTATTTAAAAAACACACACACACAAAAAGCAATCCGTAAGAGCATCTTAAAATGGGATTTTCTGCAAAGATTGGGAAATAAATTAAAACAAGCAGAACCTTGATTAATTGGTTTTTAAATGGTTAGCGTTGCTTTACCTATGCATCTCCTCAATTCAATAGAAAGACTTCATTCAAATGACCTCTTAATCAGATCACCGAAAACTAATTTATTCTCTAGATTCACACAATATTTGGGTTAGATTGGTAGCATGAAACCCCACCCAAAAACCCTAAGGAAATTTAAAATGAATCGAGTTTATTGTACGAACAACACGCTCTGTAGTAAAGTATGTTGTGTAAAGTAACATAGCCCCATATTCCTCTTTTCCCCATTTTTGGTATCTCTATTTTGTTCCTATTTTGCTATTAGGAAAATGTCCTTAAACAATATTAGAATAATTATTTTGGCTACAATCGTTGGTTATATGATTGTATGTTAAAAAAATGTTGTTGATAACAATATTGTTTCTAAGTAGAACAAAGTAAACAAATTTATACAGCAGCCAAACTTATACACAGTGACTCCAGGCAGCTTACGACATTAAAAATCCACAACATAAACTCCACACTAACACCACCAACTATGGCATCAGAAATACAATCAGATCAGGCACTTTTGTTCTGACCAAGGCTTTCTAAGACATTAACAAACACACATTAGTCCCAAAAACCTTTTGTTTTATTTCAACAGCTGTGAATTATAGACATTCACAGCCCGTAATGAGTCTCAAACAGTTTGTAAATAGTCCCACAGAAGTCTGCCAAAGTCCTTCGGGATAAGTCTGATAAGCACGCACCTTTATCTTTCTTGAAATGCTGCCAATGACTAAATTGCCAATTAGTTATACAAGGACAAATGGAGCACAAATTCAACACGGAGCTTCAGATTTCAAACTGTCCAGTACTAACAAAGTTGCTTCCTGCAAAGGTTCCTGTCCCTTTGCTCCTCCTTTATGTCTTATGGGAGGGCCAATCACCTCCAAGCCTTACTGCTGAGTTGCCCCTTTGGTCTTAATTGTTCTTGCCTTCTGGCAGCTCTGCACAAGCGCACATGGGAATAGGCTCCCCCCGTTCCTCTGCCTTGCTGCTGTCAAATTCTGGAGGCTCCGAATTCAGCACATAACTCCCAGATGGCCCTGGCCCCATCTCTGTATTGGATGCAGAACCTTCGTTCGAGTCCTCCCCAGACTCCCAGACTGGGCCATGTTCCTCCCCGCTGTCCAACTCTGCTGCCATGTCTGCAGGCTGCTGGCGGATCACAACAACTTTGGGTCCCTGGGCCCATTGACAAAATCAGGCCATTAAGGCCTTGGGGAAAAGCAACTAAGTGGGGGCCAATCTTATCTCTCAGGGGATGTTCTAAAGGGAGGAAGCCACCCCAGAAAAGTCCCTTCTCCTATAAGAAATATTCCCCATAAGATATGATAAAGATATGACAGTCTTCTCTGTTATGATATGATATGATGCCCACAAGTTGGAACAGAACTTCTTAGAACTTATGATAACTTTATTGTCACTTTGAAGGTACACTAATTGGTATATATTAAAATGAAATTTTGTTGCGTGCAGCTCGCAAAGGGTTACCACCTCCAATATGCACTACATCAACATGATGAAATGATTAAATACCGTGTTTCCCCCAAAATAAGACCCAGTCTTATTTTTTTTTTGCCACCAAAAAAAGCACCAGGTCTTATTTTTAGGGGACATCATCCACTGACTAACCTCACTTGCGTGCGTCGCTCCCAGCTTCCTTTTTGCTGTCAGGGGCCTTCAGGAACTTCTTCTTCTGCAGCCGGCAAGGCTTTTCTGAAGGCCTCTGCAGGCAATAACAGAGCTACGGATCGATTTGGAGCTTTCTTATCAGCTGCAGAGGCCTTCGGGAAAGCCTTGCCAGCCTTGCTGGCTGCAGAAGAAATGGGCCGGCAAGGCAGGTGTCGGGGTGCGCGAGGCCTGGTTACAACTGACCAAAGGTAAGTAGTACGGCAGCTCCACCCCTCCATCCCCATCTAGCTTAATTTTTACCCGTCGACTCTAGAGTGGGCGGGATCTTAATTAGGGCTTATTTTGTGGGGTAGGGCTTATATTGGGCGCACGTGTAAAAATCAAGCTAGGACTTACTTTCAGGGTAGGTCATATTTTTGGGGAAACGGTAAAAAAAGTCTATAACACTGAGAAAGGTAGAAGGAAAATAAAAATAAAATGGAACGACTAATAGCAAGCTATACATACTTTTTGGGGAAACGGGGTAAATAAATACAAAGTTATGCATATACCCACATATGTTATATAACACAGAGAAACAACAGTCTAGTCTGGAGGTATGCATGCACATAGCGAGAAAAACATGCCAAGCAGAAGGAACCCCTCTTGTCAATTAAGACATTTCATTAACAAGCCAGCCAACTGACTCCAGTAGCTCCAACCACTGGAAACCCTATAAGCATAAGAGAAAATAATTGAATTATTTTCTCCTTTGGCGCAAGGCTTGTTAGACAGTGGGCCATTCTGATGGTCTCAAGTATCTTCTAAGATTGTACTCTGGCAATCTGGCAGAAAATCATGATCTCCACCTTGCTCAGTTGCAATATCACAGTGTTCCTGTTATATCAGATGCTCTTCCCCAAAGTGGAGAGCCATTGCTTCGACACAAAAGAAACTCTTCAGATCCACAAGATTCCAAGTCCTTTGCTCTTCCAAGAAGACTCAACGTCAAATCTCGTTCATTCCATCCACCCTTCCAGGTTCCCAAATGTTCCCGAATTCACTGTAGGTAGTCATTGATTTACAACCAGATTGGATCCCAGAATGTCTGTTGCTAAGCACAATGGTTGTTAAGTCCAATGTAACAACATTTTTGCCTCAGTTGTTAAGTAAATCACCCATTGTTAAGTGAATCACACTATTGTTAAGCAAATCTGGCTCTCTCCACCCCCTCCCCCCGTTGGGCTTTGTTTGTCAGAAGCTGGGAAGATCGCAAATGATGATCACATGACCCTGGGATGCTTCAACCATCATAAATCCATGCTGGTTACCTGAACTTTGATCATGTGGCCTTGGGAATGCTGCAATGGTCATAAGTGCAAGGACTTTTTTCGGTGGCATGGTAACTTCAAACAATCACTAAACGAATGGTTGTAGATCAACATCTACCTGTATGTTCCCATCTGGCAGGCTGGTAACAGCTGGCAGAGAACTTTGTAAATAGACATTCTTGCTTTTAGCTGTGAAATGTCCTAAGGACAAACTTCTGTCTGTCCTGTCATGCCCCTGTCGGAGTCTGAATCAGAGGAGGAAGACGAACAGCTGACAGGGAGCGGGAGTGAGGCTCCGTTGACTGTGGTGGAAACTGGGGAAAGGCAAAGTCCAGCTGGGCAGAGCAGGGGAGAGGTAGAGCAAGGGAGAGGGAGTTCAGAGGAAGACCCAGGCCCATCCCCTCTTCATCCTAGGGCACACAGGGAGGAACGGAGAAGAGAGCAACACAGGTTGTGTGGCTTACGGGGGAGGAAAGGGCCCTGATTCCCTTCATTAGGGACACCTGGGAAGAGAGATGCAAGCTGAGTGTGGCATCTGCTGGGAACAAACATGAGTTTTTCTTGTGTTCAATTTGGTTATCTGCCTTACTGGCATCCTCCCAACTGGGTTGAATTACGGCCGTTCCTTCACGTCTGGAATTCCTTCTCCTGCCCTGCCGGACTAATAACCTCATCTTGCCTTGATTGGACTTTAAGTTACAGTTTTTGTTGACCACGTTTTGGACTCGATTCTCTGCAGCCAAAGGCTGTTCCTGGGAGAGTTTTTCTCCAGCCCAGAAGGTAACCAGGACATTGGGGGCAAAGTTGGAGCTAATAAAGGGACTCCTACTGATTATCTGAGTGGGTTGCCTTTGTGCCACGCCCCGGGTCATCACATGTTCCTTCTGCAGAAGCCGAAGACAGTCAACCTGACCTCAAATTGAAGCTTCAGTGCATCAGAAACAAAAACCAAAAACAGGCCAACTTCTCTGGGTGGAGCAAGGGAGCACCCAGGCGCATCGCCTGAAATCTACTTGAAACAGGAAAAGGGGAAAAAATGCACAACTAAAACAAGCGTGAAGTCCAACAGTGACTGCGGCATAGATGCTGCGGACAATTGTCTCTCTGGGATAGTTTAACAGGATGGATGTTGGCCGACAGCATCTGTGGTCTCTGCTTCTCCTGGCAGCCCTTTCAGGTAAGTCTGAGCGGCTGTAACTTAAGGACTGGTGGCTGTGAAAACATGGGTAGCAAAGTCTAAGGAGTTAAAACCCTTTCTTCATGATTTCCACAGAAAGCGGCTTGTTTTGTATTCACTTGTCTTTAAAGGCCGAGGAGCCATGGGGATGGTAGTAAACAGGTTGAGCAACTATACTCTAGGTCAGGGGGTCTCCAACCTTGGCAACTTTAAGGCTTGTGGACTTCAACTCCCAGAATTCCTTCCTACAGAACAGGGGTCTCCAACCTTGGCAAAGCAGGCTGAGGAATTCTGGAAGTTGAAGTCCACAAGTCTTAAAGTTGCCAAGGTTGGACACCCCGGACCTAGAGCATAGATAGTTGCAGTTGCCCAACCTGTTTACCACCATCCCTATGGCTCTAGATCAGGGGTGTCAAACTCAATTTTATTAAGGGACACTTCAGGGTTGTGTTTGACCTCAGGAGGGCCAGGATAGGCCTGGCCAGGGTGGGCCTGGCCAGCTTGATATCCCTCATGTCGGGGGTGCCCAAGCGCTCTGCCAAGGAAAACAGGCTCCCGAGCTCCGTTTTCAGCTGTTACCGCCTCCTGCCAACCCTCTACCAGCGAAAACAGAGCTCCGTTTTGGCTGGCAGAAGCACCGCAGGCTGGTCCTTTTGTTGTTTGCAGGGCGACCCCGTAGGCCAGATCTAAATGCCCCGTGGACTGGATCTGGCCCCAGTTTGACTGCCCTGCTCTAGGTTCAAAGACGAAACCCAGAAGTTCATCGGTTTTATAAATGGGAGAAGCTTGGGAGGGGTGTGTGTGGGGGTAGGCTGTTGTGACCTTGATTCCCGATGGTGACATGGATGAGTCTCTGCTGGTTTTCTTGGGTTGGCCGTTATTTCCTTCTTGAGAAAGAGATTAGCCGAAAGACTCCCAAGCCTAACTAAGACAGGATTAGAAATCAGGTTTTCCATGCGCCAGCCTTTTCACCCCTGCACTTTCTTGATGGTCGGCTAGGAAGTGTGAATTTGGAACAGGCATTCCAAGAAGATTCAGGACAGACCAATTTTAACTGGCAGGGCTGCAAGCCTTGTTCTGATAGGGAATGAAAGAGAAAAAGTTGGAAGGGGGGAAAAAAGGACATTTCCTATAATTAGCAGAACAGAGTTGGAAGGGACCTTGGAGGTCTTCTAGTCCCCCCCACCCCCCGGTCAAGCAGGAGACCCTATACAATTCCAGACAAATAGTTGACAATCTCTTCTTTAAAAACTTAAGTATTGGAGCATCCACAACTTCTGGAGGCGAACTGTTCCACTGGTTCATTGTTTTCACTGTTAGGAAATGTCTCCTTAGTTCTGGATTGATTCTCTCCTTGATTAGTTTCCATCCATTGCTTCTTGTCTTGCTTTCTGGTGCTTTGGAGAATAGCTTGACTCCCTCTTCTTTGGGGCAGCCCCTGAGATATTGGAAGACTGCTATCATGTCACTTCTAGTCCTTCTTTTCACTAGGCTAGACATACCCAGTTCCTGCAACCGTCCTTTATATGTTTTAGCCTCCAGCCCCCTGATCATCTTTGTTGTTTTTCTGTGCTGTTTCAACATCTTTTTATCATATGGTGACCAAAACTGGACGCAGCATTCTAAGCGTGGTCTTACTAAGGCTTTATAAAGAGGTGCTAATACTTCTCGTGATCTTGATGCTATCCCTCTGTTGATGCACAGATTGGTTTTTTTGGAAACAATCTGTGGTATGTAAATAGTGCGAGACTGAATCTTTTGTTTCTCAACTTTGGCAGCTTTCAGATGTGTGAATTTCAACTCTCAAAATGCCCCAGTTAGCCTGAGGGAACCATATATATATGCTTTTATAAAATAAATCTTTTTTTTTTAATAAAAAAAATTATTTGGGTTTTCACAAATCTACATAAAATAAATCTTAAAGAATAGGTGTCTGTACCCATATAAATGGATAGAGCAGAAGTCTCCAAACTTGGCAACTTTAAGACTTGTGGACTTCAACTCCCAGAATTCTCCAGCCATCTTTGAAATCCACAAGTCTTGAAATCCACAAAGTTGCCAAGTTTGGAGACACCCCTGGGATAGAGAATTGTATCCTTAGTAGGTAAGAATAGAAGTTAAAATTAATACAACATAATAAAATGGATACTGTAAAATATCTACTGAATATATACAATACACGCCTGGTTTGAAACAAATCATACTGAACAGGGTAAAAACAAAATAGAGTTTCAACTTGCAATCATTGTTTGTTGAGCCAGTTTTTGGGTAGCTTTCCTATGTCTTCATATACTTTTTATATTGCACAACTATTGCTTAGATAGAGTCTTGAATAGTGTCCTGAAATCAACCAGGAACATCAAGAAAATGCATAATGAATTGTTATTTGCACATACTTAATTACAGTGCCATCAATAAATCAGCAAATGAATTGGAGTTGTTTCTTGTCAAAATAAGCCATGGTTTGCTCTAACCTCCAGACACAATGCTAAGTCAAAAACAAACAAACATACCGTGGCTTAATACAATGTGAACACTTTTTCTTTTTTTATTCACGCTTTTATGTGTATTATTTTAAGAATACGCAGGATCCTCAATGCAATCCCCATTGAAGAAATCATTCACTGTTCACCCCTCAATATAACAAGTACATTTCCTTAGGGTTCACTTATTTGGCATCATGATCAAATTGAATCTGATTGAGTAGATTTTGGACTCAATGTCAGATAAGCGAAGTATCTGTGCAGATTTAGGACTGTTTGATTAAAACTTTGGAAAAGGAAATTGATGTCTATATTGATCCAAAGTATATATTTATTGAATACATCACTGAGTTTAAAAGGGTGTTTACTGCATCCTGAATAAGTATGTTTAATCTTATAGCGCAGCCTTCAGTCATTCAATTGGGTTAATGAAAACTACTTTCAGATATTTCCATAATCTCTTTTCTTAAGACTTTCTCTAAAACAGTCTTCAGCTACTTTAAGATGTGTGGACTTCAAATCCCAGAATTCTCCAGCTGGCTAGGGAATTTTGGGAATTGAAGTCCACACATCTTGAAGTTATTGAAGTTGAAAAACACTGCTCTAAAGCAATAGAGCCAGTTTGGTATAGTGGATAAGATACTAATCTAGAAACCAGGAATCAACCTTAGGTAGGAAACCTGGATGGATGTCTTTGGATCAATTTCTAGGAGGTGGTGAATTCTAGTCCTGCCTTAGGCATGAAAGTTGATTGAGTGACTTTGGGTCAATCACTCTCTTTCAACTGAAACCAGGTTTGTTGTGGTGGGAAAAATAGGAGGAGGAAGGAGGATTGCGTATGTTTGCTACCATTAATTACTTATCGAGTAATAAAGGCAGGATAAAAATAGAATTAATTAATTTTCACTAAAGCCCTGTCAGTCCCACCCCAAGATAGGCCAACTCTGGCAAAGATACTGCATGAACCATTAGGACTCTATTGCCAGAGGGTGTGATAAATTTTTTTGAAAGCCTGCAGAGATGTTCTCTCTTTCCTATCTTATACTAAAGAAAACCAAGCCAGAGCAATCTTGAGTCTCTTCCTCACCCTCTCCTGTCTATCCTGGCAACGCTGGGTTTCTGTATAACGGTTGTTGAATTCCTTTTTCAGGGCTATCTCTGTACTTCTCTATAGTCCTAACTTTTTAGATATCTATGGAGAGTCTCAGTCATCCAGGTCAGGGTTGTCCCCAAAAGGTGTTTTTTTTCAAAAAGTAACTGGACTTTCTTGGTTTTTCCTTGAAGGTGTTTCGCTTCTCATCCAAGAAGCTTTTGAAAAAGCACTTTTGGGACAAACTTTTTAGAGATTACAGTTCCTCGGAAAACTTCTCAGATCTGGTTCCAGCTAACTCTGCAAGACTTTCTGTCTACCTGCAAGGGTGGGCCATGAACTTTCCGCCTTATAAAAAGTGGTCTTCTGTTTCCTGTCAACAGAGGCAGGAAAAGGGAACTAAAACCACCAGCAGCCCCTGGGGGATATGACCAGGGGCGCCATTCAGTCATGGAGATGTGGTTCAGCGGCTTTACCAGCAGGGAAGGCCCTTTGGGGAGGGTTTGTTATTGGAAAGATTGCAAGATATATTGGGAAATATGACCTTTCCCCCCCCCCTTCATTTTTGATTATCTGTTATCTGAAATGGATGGGACCTTGGAGGTCTTTTAGTCCAGCCCCCAGTTTAAGCAGGAAATCCTATACCATTTCAGACTGTCCAGTCTCTTCTTAAAAACCTCCAGGGATGAAGCACCCACAACTTCTGAAGGCAAGTCGTTCCACTGATTAATTGTCCTCACTGTTAAGTTTCTCCTTAATTTCAGGTTGCATCTCTCCTGGATTAATTTCCTTCCATTGCTTCTTGTCCTGCCTTCAGGTACTTTGGAGAATAGATTGACCCCTTCCTCTTCTTTGTGGCAGCCCCTCAAATACTGAAATACTGCTATCACGTCACCCCTAATCCTTCTTTTCTCTAGACTCATGTCCAGTTCCTGCAACCGTCCTTCATATGTTTTGGTCTCCAAGCCTTTAATCATCTTTGTTGCTCTTCTCTGCACTTTTTCTAAAGTCTCAGCATCATTTTTGTAATGCGATGACCAAAACTGAATACAGTATTCCAGGTGTGGTCTTACTAAGGATTTATAAAGCGGTACTGCTGGAAATACATCACATGATTTTGATTCTATGCCTCTGTTTATATAAAGTTTGTACACCTTAGTTGTGCTTTACTGTATTGGGTAAAACACAGCCAACTGTATTTGATTCAAGAAACTAGGGCTAAGTACGTGAGAAATCAGCCAATTTTTATAACTAATCGTTCTTTAATACATGAAACTGCATACAGTATATAGTTAAGTTAGAATTAGTTCATCCAACATTCACTCTCCCAGAAACAAAAGGATATGTTGCAGGATCCAATTTGGGCCAATCACTGAGAGATATTCCAGCATGAATTCGAAAGCTTGGAAGACTAAACTTCTGGTCCCGACCCAGACTGGATCCTGCTATATTATCCTGGGACACATATATTTGCCTTCATTTGTGAAAGTAATATGTTCTCATGTATGTTCAAACCATCCTTCTAGGCAGGGATTGTTCTGACCTAGGCTTCACAAACTCATGAAGCACACTGTGATGACCTGGGGTGTGGCACAAAGGCAACACAGTCACATAAGTAAGAAGAGTCCCTTTATTAGCTCCAACTTGGCCCCCAATGTCCAGGTTACGTTTGGCTGGAGAAAAAACTCTCCCAAGAACAGTCTATAAGTGGAGGAAATTCAGTCCGACAACAAGGTACATACAAACTGTAACTAAAAATCCCAACAAACCAAGCTGCAGTAATTAACTTGACATGGCAGGAGAAGGAATTGCAGACTTGAAAGGCCAGCAAAACACACACAGTTGGGAAGACGCTAGGAACCCAGATAAGCCTTGACAATACCAGATAACTCACGATTTGCTTTCAAAAATTTGCTGTGGGCAACCTCCCTTTTTAAATACTGTGTTCCCAGCTGCAGCTAATGAAGGGAATCAGGGCCATTTCCTCCCCCATAAGCCATGCAGCTCACATTCCTCTCTTCTCCGTTCCTCCCTTGAATGCCCTAGGATGAAGAGGGGATGGGCCTGGGTCTTCTTCTGAATTCCTTCTGCCTTGCTCTACCTCTCCCCTGCTCTGCCCAGCTGGACATTGCCCTTCCCCAGTTTCTTCCACAGCCAATGGAGCCACACTCCCACTCCCTGTCAGCTGCTCAGTCTCCTCCTCAGAATCAGATTCCAACAAGGGCATGACACAGACCCCTCGTCCGACAAAACCTCTTTTTATTAGGCTAATGTGAATTCCTATCATTCGCATCCAGCAAAGTCCCGGCAAACAAGTCTTTCAACAGTCTTTACAACCCTTATCAGGCTTGGAGAGTTGCCAGGCTGATAGCTTCCAAGCGCAACTGCTGCACCAGAAAATACTTGGCAAGGAGTCATGAACAAATCTTCACCTTAATTAAATGAACTAATTGTCTCCTGCAAACACCACTGCCCTTTTGCTCCTCTTTATTCCCTATGGGAGGGGCCATTCACCATTCATCTGTGCCTTTATTCCCGAGTCGACCCTTGTTCCTTCTCCTGGCAGCTCTGCGCAAGTGCACATTGGGAACAGGCTCCAGCTATTCTTCTGCCCTACTGATCTCCAACTCAGAAGGCAGCTGTCGGACGGCCCTGGCCCTATCTCTGCCTACGACGCAGAGCACTTCCCCAGACTCCAGGACTGGCCCATGTTCCTCCCCAACCTCCTCACTGTCCGAGTCTGCTGCCAGCTCTGTTGGCCATTGGCAGGCCACAACAGGGATAATGTAAATAGAGAATCCGTTTTGTACACCAATATTTTTATGTAATCAGGACTGAGGCTCCTGTGGAACCAGAAACCTGTCTAGAGGGCCCGTTGTTGGCATTTTTTAAAGTCTATTTTCCCTTATAGTTTGTATGTTGGGATCTTAGGATATTGATTACAATGTTCTTTATATTTATAATAGCTGTTTTCATATCTTCTCTTTTATCCATGCTCAGAGTCACCTTTGATAAGATGGGCGGCTAGATAAATTTGGTTAATTTTTTTCCTCCTCCTTCTTTTTGCAGGTTATATTTGTGACAACCAAACTAACGATACCACTGAAATCATTCCAATAACAGAGGAAATCAAGAGCACAGATCAAAACCCCGCAAAGCCCAAAGAATACATTTTAACAACCGAGCCTACGCCAACGGATCCAACCTGTCAGAATTCCCAGCCGGTGATGCAACGTCATTCCCAGCTTCCCGTCGTGAAACCCGTAGATACTTCTCGAATCATTTTGGAAGGGAAATCTGCCACTCTGGAGTGTCATTTTGATGCCCTACCAGAAGCCGTGGTTTTCTGGAAAAAAACTTGCTCCCCAAATTGTAGCAGCAATTCTGACATCTCCAATACTGGAAACCACTTCATCTCTGAAAATGTCCTTCAGGGCTGGTCAAAGCTCACCTTTCATTCAACCCAAAAGAACGACACCGGGATGTACTACTGCATTGTGGTTGTTTCCAGTGGTCACGGCCAATCGTGTGGGACATTTCTGTGGGTCAGGAGTGAGTATAAACCTTACACTGCTAAGGATTGAACGGTTAAATACTGGCTAAATACCCTTATACTAATAGTACATACAGCTTGCTACTAGTTGTTCCATTTTATTTTTATTTTCCTTCCACCTTTCTCAGTGTTATAGACTTTTTTACCCTGTTTTCCCCAAAATACAACCTACCCTGAAAGTAAGCCCTAGCTTGATTTTTACACGTGCGCCCAATATAAGCCCTAATTAAGATCCCACCCACTCCAGAGTGGACGGGTAAAAATTAAGCTAGGGTGGGGATGGGAGGTTGGAGCTGCCCTACTACTTACCTTCAAACAGTGGTAGCCAGACCCCGCACACCCCGACACCTGCCTTGCCGGCAAGGCTGGTAAGGCTTTCCTGAAGGCCTCTGGAGCTGATAAGAAAGCTTTGGATCGATCCAGAGCTCTGTTATCGGCTGCAGAGACCTTCAGGAAAGCCTTGCCGGCTGCAGAAGTTCCAGAAGGCCTCTGACAGCGAAAAGGAGGCCAGGGACGACACGCACAAGTAAGGTTAGTCGTGGATGACATCCCCCCAAAATAAGACCTGGTGCCTTTTTTGAGTGGCAAAAATATAAGACAGGGTTTTGTTTTCGGGGAAACAGGGTAGAGAGCTAAGTTAGACCTCAACATAAAAAACCAGGTTCAGGTTGGCCCTGTGTCCTCCCAACCTTTTGGAAACCAGGGACTGGTTCCGTGGAGACAGTTTTTTCCCGTGGACCAGAGGGGGCATGGTTTGGTGTGTTGCCTGCATCTTGTGGATGGGGCTACATTTGTTTGTGTGGCCCCATTTCTGGCATTCAAACAGCAGTGCCGGTCCATGGACCAGGGGTTGGGGAAGACTGGGTTAGCCAATGGTATTCAGGAAGTCCTGAGGACTGATTTAAATAACATTAGATTTAAATAACACCTTTCCTCTAAGAGCTCAAGGCAATTCCATCCTCCAGGTTATGAAGTGTACAGGGTGCTTATAGATTTAGTATTTTTATTTGGTATGTTTTTCAACTCTGTGAGCGTCAGCCTCAAGATATCTTCTGCATCCTATCTACTATACCTTCTCTGCTGCTATGCTATGCTATTTCTTTCGGCTGTCATTTGCAATGGAGGGAGGGGGAACTTGGAGGGGAAGAGAGCTGGAGGTCTTTTGCATTCCTTTGCTGTGGGTGAATTCTTGTCTTTAACTTTCCATTTCCTTGCTAGCTTCTATCCCCTTTTGCGCAGCTGCGAAGTTTTATCAAAATATGTCAAGGTCAACAGACAGAGGCCTCATCACCACCTGAAGATGCCCACATGATCATATTAAGAACTTTTAATTGGAAGAGTCATTTGGACTTTGGGGGGTGGGAACAATTCCATCCCTTTGTATATGTGATCTGCGCGCCAATTCCTTAGATTCGGAATAATGTCAGTGTGTGCTCCCTTCAAGATCCAAGAAAGAAATACTCAGACTCCATGGGTTAGAGCAAAGTTATCCTTTTACTGGAAATCAAAGTGGAAGCTACAGATTGAATTCCGAATTCCGAACACATTGGCTTAAAAGAGATTGACTGGCTCAGAGTCACCTATTGAATTGTGAGTGAGGGTAGTGTGCATGCACTCTCTCTCTCTCTCTCTCTCTCTCTCTCTCTCTCTCTCTCACACACACACACACACACACACACACACACACAAAGTTACAGTATTTCAGCTCTGGGATTATTTTAAAAGTCGTTGAATTAGTTGCAAAGACATCTTCCATTTATTCTATTTTTTTGGAAACAGAATCTTTAGTGGAAATATGTAGAAATAGTCTGTTGGAAGAATTAAAAGCATAGAGCTAAAATACAATTAATAAGCAAGTTAGTAATGGTCGATAAGGTCCAAATGCAAATAGAGGATTTCATCTACTGAAACAAGAAATCCTGCAGGAAAAAAAGGGTTGGGAAGAGAAATCATATCATTCTCTGAAGGTGTATGAATGAAAAAAAATTCCCTTATGCAAATTATTGCAGTCTAAATACAGATTATTGTTAACTATTGTAGTGCTTTCTATTGTGGGCATGAAAGAAACACTGGATCAATGCTGATGACTTGCCAAGTAATTAAAATTAGCTAATAATATCTATGCTTCTGGTTTTCTTATCAAATTCCTCTTCACTTGGCAGGAAAATGCTGAGGAATGCTGTCGATAATAATTTACTTGGACTTCAGTAAGGCATTTGATAAAGTAGACCATAACCTATTACTAAATAAAGTAGAAAAATGTGGGTTAGACAACATCACCCCCAGATGGATTCGTAACTGGCTGACCAACCGCACCCAACGTGTAGTCCTCAATGCATTTACATGGAGGGAAGTCTGTTTTAGGCCCAGTGCTCTTCAACATCTTCATCAATTACTTGGACAAGGGGATAGATGGGGAACTCATCAAATTTGTAGATGACACCAAGCTGGCAGGAATAGCCAACACTCCAGAAGATAGGCTTAAGATACAGAAGGATCTTGACAGACTTGAACATTGGGCGCTATCTAACAAAATGAAATTCAAGGGTGAAAAAAGTAAGGTTCTACATTGAGGCAAGAAAAATCAATTGCACAGGTACAGTATATGTGGCACCTGGCTCAATAGTAGTAATTGTGAGAGGGATCTTGGAGTCCTAGTGGACAACCATTTAAATATGAGCCAAGAGTGTGCAGCAGCTGCCAAAAAAGCCAACACAGTTCTAGGCTGCATAAACAGAAGGATAGAATCAAGATCACGTGAAGTGTTAATGCCACTTATAAGGCCTTGGTAAGGCCACACTTGGAATGCTGCATCCAGTTGCCACAATGTAAGAGAAATGTTGAGACTCTAGAAAGAGTGCAGAGAAGAGCAACAAAGATAATTAGGGGACTGGAGGCTAAAACATATGAAGACGGGTTGCAGGAACTGGGTGTGCTTAGTCTGATGAAAAGAAAGACTAGGGGAGACATGATAGCAGTCTTCCAATATCTCAGGGGCTGCCCCAAAGAAGAGGGAGTCAAGCTATTCTCCAAAGCACCTGAAGGCAGGACAAGAAGCAACAGGTGGAAACTAATCAAGGAGAGAAGCAACCTAGAACTAAGGAGAAATTTCCTGACAGTGAGAACAATTAACCAATGGAACTGCTTGCCTCCAGAAGTTGTAAATGCTCCAATACTGGAAGTTTTAAAAAAGATGTTGGATAACCATTTGTCTGAAGTGGTGTAGGGTTTCCTGCCTAGGCAGGGGGTTGGACTAGAAGACTCCAAGGTCCCTTCCAACTCTGTTATTCTATTCTGTTCTAAAATGTCTACAGGTCTCTAGAATTAATTTTTTTACAAAAACATGTACTTGTGAAATAATAGTAGCTAATGTAATCAATTCAGAGAAGGGGAATTGGGGTGAGTTCTAGATATTAAAGGGTTCCTTTTTTATTGCATGCCCTTCCACAAAATTTAGATCCCAGCATAGCTGTTTTGTCCTTTTGTCTGGCTCAAAATTACACTAAGCCAGTCTTCTTTTTTAATATGCTCCATCACAATACACTGTGAATTGGAACTTTCATTTCCTTTTTGAAAATGCTGTTTGTCTGTGATACGATGCACCTCCAGCCCCCACATGTTAATTTGAAGTTTTGAAATGGTCAGGAAATGTCTGCAAAACCTGATGGAGGAAGAGATGTCTACGTAGGATAAATCCAGACAGCTGGTTTGGCATAGAAGAACTCTATGGTTCCATGGACATTTGAGTTAGATAATGCTGCCTGGTTGGGTTGGTTAGTTGGTTGGGAAATATATGAGACTTAAATACATACATCAATGCATATAATCTTCTGCTCAATAAAATGGAGATTGTTCCAAGCAAATAACCCCCATAAGCTGGCTATGTTTAACTAACACGCTTTAACTGATTACTGAACTAACCCACATTCTAGGTTTGTATGATAAAATAAACCCAACAGTTACTAAATGGCCAGTAATTACATGAAATAAGTCGCCCACCTAATGGATTAAACCAGGATTAAAACTGGCTGAGAATGTTGTGCAAATCCAACTGTGGGATTTAAAATTGACCCGTGACAGTCTTCTTTTGTCAATGTGTTTGCCAATTTGCAAAAATTGCTATTTGACAAAAGGACCTCTGAGAATTAATAAATGTATCTATGACATCTACGTAGCAAGATGAGTTGGCAGCGTAGATAATATTGAAATAGAGAATTCCAAGTGGGTGGTATAATAGGAAGACCAGGAATGTTATGAGGCTTCCAAATCAATTGTCCATTTTTGGCTGTCTTCTAGGACCTCGTCCCGTCTCCTTCCTGAATATGAGTGAATCCATTAAAAACAAGATTATCACTGTGGAGGGATTCCTTCTGCTTATCTGTGCCATTGGTCCTAGCCTTTTTCTGCTGTTCAAGGTGAGCTGTTTTTTCCCTTCACGTATCATTTCCATACATGCATATATAGTATCACCCATTCTGAATCTGTTTGTGCATAGTTTCCAGTCACCAGATCTTGTTCTGCTTTTGATCACCATGTTAAAGAATGTCCTGCTTCCTCACAGAGGCATTAGCAGACAGTTTACAGTAATGGAAAGATCAGCTGGTTTCAAAAGTATCATTAGGAGATTATTATTCTTGGAACTATAGTTTGAATTTCTCTTCAACATTTTTTTCACAATATGGGCATTACATCAGATCCAATTGGCAGTAATCTAAGTAATTGTTCCTGTGGCACAGATTATCACCTAAGCAAGTTGTTAGTTGTACACATTAGGAGGAATGTATAGCTGGTTTTTCAAACTAAAATTATATTGATGCCTGCTTTTAGTAGAATATTCCCAGTATTGCATATATCTATTTTTTTTTTCATTTAACGCAAAGCATCATATGTGCGTCTCAGACAGTTTTTTCATCAGGGGGGTGAAAAATTAGGCCCACTCTTAGCATAAACAAACAAGCTGTATCCTTTGTTTTAAATCCATGACTTATTAACTGTCAAATATTTGTTACGTACCCATTTCTATGTGAAATTCAGTGGACCTACCTACAGTATGCTTAGAACAGCTCCACAATAGCATAAATCCTGCCTTTATAGTAAATATGGAATGAAATGAATTTTTAAAAAATTCTTCCAGTTTATAGTCCAACATGAAGCTCTGCATCCAAGCTCTTCATTATATCCGACAGTTGCATTTACTCAGCTATGTGACAAGGCCTATTCAAACATCTGTTGCGGTTTACTATCTGCACATGAAGTTTTTCCTGGTTAAATTCATTTACTTAAATCCTTTTATATACCTTCCTATCTTACCATTATTCTGGGCAGCTAACAAAGGTTCAAAAATAATATATCTATGTAGGTATAAAATCCATATGGCTGAAGAAGCCATACAGAACATGTGGGATCTATTGCTCTCCTGACCCCCATGCCTGGGCACAGCCTGGTCTTTGAGGCTTTCTGAAACATGAGCAGAATGTTTCAGAATTTAATCTAGGGCAGTATCTTTTTCTAGATGGGGGAGGCAAACTAAACTGCTAGGTGACAATCCCTGATTAAGTGGATTCAGAGCATGTACATCAGCGGTGGGATTCAATTTTCTTTATTACCGGTTCTGTGGGCGTGGCTTGGTGGGCGTGGCAGGGGAAAAATCTCCAATCAGAGGTGGTATTTGTCGGTTCTCTGAACTACTCAAAATTTCTGCTACTGGTTCTCCAGAACCGGTCAGAACCTGCTGAATACCACCTCTGATGTACATCTAATAGACTGGATAAAAAACATGAAAGTAAGGCACTTAGTTTGCCCTTAAGAATCCTCTATTGACTATGTTTTTATTTGTGTATAGTACAATACATAAGTACAGTATTAAAACATTTAATACTAATTTCACCAAAGCTGAAGTTAAATATAGAACTTAAAGCATAATATTAGTTGACTTTTTAGTGAATCCTAGCCTCTTCTTGTCTTGTTTGCAGAAGAGATGGGAAAATGAGCGCCTCTTGCAGGCCAAGAAGAAAGCTGGTGAAGAGGAAAATCTGTATGAAGTAAGTCAATGGAATGATTTATTGGTATATTGCAGAAGCAAGGGAGATGAAACAATGGGATATGTAACAATGAAAACAGAGATTTCTGTTGGGAGACCTATTCTGCTATCATCTACAGCAGGGATCCCCAACCTTTTCGACGCCGCGGCCCGGTTCCGACATCAGCTGGGCGCCGCGGCCCGGTACCGGCGTCAACTGGGCGCCGCCATCTTTTTATGACGAAACAGCGCTTCCGGTGAGCTTTCCAAAAAAAAAGATGGCGGCGCCCAGCAACCAGCGGCCCGGTAAGGCTTGTTCCGCGGCCCGGTACCGGTCCGCGGACCGGCGGTTGGGGACCCCTGATCTACAGTACTCTAAACTATAGTGCAAGAATACAGACAGCGTAGCTATGATGGTGCTAGAGAGGGAGGGGGCACAAGAGGGATCCTGATATTCATCAATGGAAGGCATTTTTCCAATTGGAAAGATATTAACTTCTACTTGGTGTTACTTTTATTGTTGTGTGTATTTGCAGTCCATGCTCAGTAATCCAAAATCGCTTAGGATTTTAGCCTTAAGTTGCTCAGTACATGACTTTCAGAATAATGAACTCTTTGTCTTTTCCTTTTAGGGACTGAATCTGGATGATTGCTCAATGTATGAGGACATCTCCAGGGGTTTACAAGCTACCTACCAAGACATAGGCAATGTCAAAGTGATTGATTTACAGCTAGAGAAACCAGAGAAGCCATGAATTAAAAATGCCTCATTGTCATTTTCTTGTTCATTGGGAATGGTTATTTTAAAATTCTTTCTCGATATCTCTTGCTGAGAATGTGTATATATGTGATGGTGATTCTGTATTTTCCTATCCTTAGATAACAATAATTGTATAAATTTAATCTTGAGTAGAGAAGTAAGCTCTGCATTGTCAAAAATTGGCTTGAATAGAATATCATAAATGAAATAAGCAACAACAAATCCTTTGATTTTCCAAACAAGAAAATACTCAGATTATATGCTATTTTGTAATTCCGATTGCCATTATTTTAAAAAGAAGCATCTCTCTCATAAGCAATGGTTAAATACTACATATGGTGACATTTACCATCAATTAATTCCTTATGTTTGCTTTCAACCACTCAATTTGAGTAAAAAAAAAGCACATCTGTAAACCATATTTGCATTCATTTCAAATTAACATTTTGAAACATTTGAACATTTAAAAATGATCTCATATTTGTAGAAAAGCCTTATTGTGGATGGTGCTAACTGGTAGTGTGTATGTTCCCACTAAAGAAAGAAAAATGTCATCACATATCCAATATTTATGAGCCTCTGTGGTGCAGTGGTCAGAGTGTAGTACTGCAAGCAACTTCTGTAGCCAGCTGCCTACAATTTGGCAGTTCAAATCCCACCAGGCTCAAGGTTGACTCGGCCTTCCATCTTCCCGAGGTGGGTAAAATGAGGACCCAATTGTTGGGGGCAATATGCTGACTCTGTAAACCACTTAGAGAGGGCTGTAAAGCACTGTAAAGCGGTGTATAAGTTTAAGTGCTATTGCTATTTGGAGTAGCTGCATATAGCATTTTTTAAATATAAACCTGGTGGAATAACATAAGTGTCTTGCTGCAGAAATATAAATGGATAACAATATTTGTGATGTTTATAGGAAGAAATAAGATATAAGTCTAGGATGTCCAACAACAGTGCTCCCTGGTAGAACATTAATTCTTATGATATCTGCAAAAAGAAAAACAATTAAAAGGAAAAGGTGGAATGACGAAGACAAATAACCACTGCAATGTTTCTCCTCACTGTTTATTTGCCATTTTAATACTTTCCCATTCTTTAAAGGAAAATATAGCTTTATTTATACTGCAGACTTGTGAATACAGGAAGGCCAAACAATAGCAAAAACAAGTGGTACTCGGATAAATTCCAAAACCAGTGAGTTCTGGCTTTTATGGGTGCCAACAATTTTCATGGGATAACGCTTCAACATTTGACAGTTTTAATCAATCACCTGTTATAATCCTATGGTAATACAATCATATCTTAAAATTTCCCCTTTTCTTAATTAGCTGTTTATAAACTTTATTTTTTGATTCAAAATCTATGGCTTTGATATATTCTTTACTGAAGATGTGTTACTTATATCAAAAATACTTCATAATTTATGTTTATATATTTAGCAACACTACTACAGTTGGTCAAGCTTGATGAATATTGGGCTCCACTTGGAACATTACTGATGATATTGAAGCTTTTCCCACACTCCCTACTGAATACGGCCTCTCTCCTGTGTGTGTCCGCATGTGAGTGGCCCGTG